GACGGGGGTGGGATGACGGGGATGGGATGTGTGTGGGAAGACGGGTGACAGGGACGGGGTTTGGGAAGACGGGTGACGGGGTGGGAAGACAGGAGATGGGGTATGGGATGATGGGTGACGGGGGATGGGGTGTGGAAAAGACGGGTGATGGGTATGGGATGACGGGTGTGTGGGATGGGGGTGGGAAGACGGGTGACGGGGCTGGGGATGACTGGGATGATGGGGTGTGGGAAGACGGGTGACCGTGTGGGAAGACGGGGGATGGGGGTGGGATGACGGGTGACAGTATGTGAGTTGTGGGGTAAGTACAAAGCAAATTACAACATTCCATATAAATAATGTGTTTTATTTCGTGATTGATTTATTTGTTTATTTAAACAATGAATAAATTTCTTGTGGACAAAACGACAAAACAGCGGCCGTTCCACAAAGTGCATGGGATAATATGAAATCCAACTAGCGTCCTTACAAAGAACAATTCATTGTGTTTATGGGCATTTGACTCTCACACAGTAATGTATTATCATGTGATTTGTAAATATTATACATCAATCAGTTGTACAGCTTCATAGATAAATGTTTGCAATCATGTACCTTTGAGATGTCTGTGCATCTGTCATATTTAGCAATGAACCATTTTAGAATAAAATCGATTTAAATATGTTCTTTATTTTCGTCTCAATTCGTCGTCAAGTTATGACTACATGGTGCCGGAGAGTAATCATAGAACTGAGACTTTTCTTATTGAAGGCTAGTTACTTTAGTGTCAGTGCTGACATTGCTTTGTTTTTTAGGGTTGTTTTTGTCGTTGGTTTGCTTTGTTGTTTTTTATATCTTGGGGGGAAGGGGTATTCTGTTGTTTGTTATTAGTGTTTCACAGCACTGTTACATCCCCAGTTACTTTTGACAAAATTAATGACAGGCGTTACGACGAATATTGACCATCTCCTATATACACATGTATGTACACACTGTACATGTATATTCACTTTCACACACACGTGTGTAAATTATACCTACCACGTCGTCTACAATATGCTCGTCCCTGGACGTTCCACTATTTCGTTTGTATGTGTGGGAATCTGGGCAAAATACAACCATAAAGTGATTCGGACATTATACCTTCAAAACCCACCATGAGTTGAACACTTTGGGAAGAATGTATGTTCCTATATGTGTAATGTAATAGATCAAACACCTAACCAGTGCTCCAGGTGATTTAGCTGTTGTTATTTACTTTCATGTTATTATCCATACTGGGTTCTATCTTTATGTTCAGGTATTCAACAAAGTTTTTATTTTGTACATAAAATTATTTTTCTCAAAAATAATCCGGTTTTCATGCTGTATTCAATCACTAAGTGAAGAACTGTAAATATTGATGAGTAGACAACAGGCTACTTTCGGTTATCATGGTCATCAATCTTTTATTCACATTTGTGCTCACAAAATTCAAAACTTATATTGAGTAAGAAAGGTGAAATTATTTGTGCACATTCAGGTGATAACGAACGTCTGTTTAGTGTCAGTGTAAGGATGAAAGGGGCATGGGGTGTTTTAAATATTTTATAAGTATCAATATTTTATGAACACAGATTAAAATTGCCAAATTATTTCCTTTCGTTCATTTTCGTAAGCAGGCCTATGTATCTATGCTGTTCTGTTTGTTGGGACTCACATTGAAGTATGGAATTGTGACCCTGGTCAGGCAAAGTTACTATTCCCAATGGAATTGAAATATACGCGATGTACCTTGAATTCATGCATGCCTAAACGTCTGCGAATGTTTTTCTCATGATGTACTCACTTGATCCATGTTGGTGTTCTGTGGCCAGCTAGGCAGATCTGGTTGGATGTAAGTGTGGGGAGTTTCAGCAATATCACAGTGGTTTGCGACCTTAACAAGCAGTTGGTGGATGTTGGATGCACTGTTATTCCAAGTCACCAATCCAAATATATGCTGTACTTTCACACAACTCATCACCTTCCTGATTCACACCAGCTCAGCTACTAACTATACTGTACTAGAGGAGTGAGCGAGTTTAGTTTTATGCCGCACTCAGCAATATTCCAGCTATATGGCGGTGGTCTGTAAATAATCGAGTCTGGACCAGACAATCAAGTGATCAACACCATGAGCATCGATCTGCGCAATTGGGAACCGATGACAAGTGTCAACCAAATCAGCGAGCCTGACCACCCGATCCTGTTAGTCGCTCTTACGACAAGCGCTGTACTAGAGGAAGTCTAGGGGTTGAAAGTGTGTGATGTGCCTGTATCCACAGCAGGAACTGTCCATATGAGCTAAAATGATTTTTCTTCGCTAGATCATGAGCCTCCACATCATCTGGTTGTTCAGAATGTCTCAGCATATCCATAGCCTCACAACCTTACCCTCATAGTGGAGCTTACCACAGTATCACAAATGACATGGACACACAAGCAGCAAGTCACAGTTTATTGACAAAGTGCTGGAGATAGTATATCACAGTTTATACTTCACAAACAAAACAGTCAATGTCTTGAGCCAAAACAACACTCACTCCAAGTGTTCTACATGGAGAGAATAACAGGGTCAAAACATGCAGGTATTTCAGAGCCAGTTCCAGCCTGTAGAAAAAGAAACATGCATTGTTTCTGTTGCCTATGAAAAAATAACTACTGGTATTTTAAAATGAACAATGTGTATGTATATTTTCATAGCCTCAACCATGCATATATTGGAATAGAATGTTACATCCAGTTTATTAAAAAGAAACTGTTCGACTTGCCCAGCTCAAGTCCGAGAATTTTTCCTCATTAAATACTGACCTGCAGGACTCTATTCTGTACAGTATAACTTCCTTATAATCCCTCCAGTTGTACAGGACTCTATTCTGTACAGTATAACTTCCTTATAATCCCTCCAGTTGTACAGGACTCTATTCTGTACAGTATAACTTCCTCATAATCCCTCCAGTTGTACAGGACTCTATTCTGTACAGTATAACTTCCTTATAATCCCTCCAGTTGTACAGGACTCTATTCTGTACAGTAGAACTTCCTTATAATCCCTTCAGTTGTACAGGACTCTATTCTGTACAGTATAACTTCCTTATAATCCCTCCAGTTGTACAGGACTCTATTCTGTACAGTATAACTTCCTTATAATCCCTCCAGTTGTACCATTTGCAACAAACACATCGAACACCAAACACAATTCTTCTATGATAAGTACATTTCAACATTATAGTATGCAGAAAGTACAAAAATATAATGTAAGCTTAACTGATGTATTGAGATATAACAGACCAAACATAATGGACGTTAACTGGACAACTGTATCACTATTAGCACTAACAACACAAACACTCTTTCAGTTATTATTCATCATGAATACTTGGAAATAGATGTGTGAACATATCACATCAGTATTTTCATCATAACATCATCATACCAACTTGGAAAGAAATTCAACTGAAAATGCTTGTTATGCATCAAGACAAACTATTATTAGATATTTATAAAACTAAGATACATAGTCTATTTAATGTAACCATGTAAGTGCCACCTGACCAACTTCTAGACCTATCTGTGAGTAATCTTTATAAGCTCCCTTGTATAAAACTGAAAATATACATATTTTACTTATCTCTATGTCACATTTTACACACAACCCAACAGTTCTAAAGGGTTGTTTAATTGCTAACTGACTATTGTTAGAAATAGTTTTATCAATGTTTGAACAATGTATGTTTCCTACTGCTCAAGCTATGGTTTAATAATAATAAGCATGTACATCATCAAAATACTAAACATCTGTGTGTAATATGCTGGTCTGTGTGTAATATGCTGGTGAATATGCTACTGTTTTCTATAAATCGGGTGGAATGCTCTAAGGAATGCAGAAACTAGAATTACTACAAATATAGTGCAACAAAAGATTCCACAATTCCAAAAGTAACTTTTATACATGTCATTTATACACTACACCCAGGTCAACAAAACCTCTCATTTATCAGGCAATTAAACACAACTGCAGCCAATAGTTTGATGCATGCAGAAACTACATATAGTCAGTGATGGCAATACCCCCGTCTAGTCTGTCGTACAGACCCTGAAGTAAATATATCCAAGAAAGCCCGAGCAAGTCTAGAAAATGTGGCAAGTCTAGATTTCCTCAGCTTCAGGGTCTCTGAAAATGAAGAAAGTCTCAGGGCTCCTTTTCATTATATTATATTCTTTTTTACTATGAACTTTTTTCAGTAAAATATGTTCATTTCAGAGACTATTTGTTAGTCTAACCCCAGTCATGTGGGCTTGCCAACAGACTGACAAACCATGAGTCCATAACTGTCACCTGATACCTCAGGTATTTAATTGTGTGCTGCTTTGAACATTATTTCAGTTACCATGGTTACATCCTGCTGTGTCAACCAAACATAGGAGTGATGCCTTCAGTGATGCAATTCTAAGGTATTTACCACTTTCTTGAAACCCACAAGGACAGGCATGATGCTGACAAACTTTTAAATCAGAGCAATTTCTGTGAATCAAACTTTCCGTGGCCATTGTTAATTTGGTTAGAGATGGTAATCAAGATTTGGCAGACATTCCATCTCTCAATATTTTCCCAAAATAAGCAGCGGTAAAATATTCTTACAGCAATGCATACCCCAGACCGGACAGGACACCCTTGACATGTGATTCATGAAACTGATTCACACTAAGGAAAAAGCAAGGCAGAAAGTTGTGCAAACAGAACATAAATAACCTACAATGGAGTTTTTACTACAAAATGCTTCAACACAAGACGATTCAAGTAAGCGAGTAAAAGTGACAGATTTTATAGATATGTCATGTTTACACTTTACAAACAGTAAATAAATGTTTTAATAGATAAGCAATATTTTGTTTGATTCAAACAACACCTTAGACAGATCTACTTTCCATTTGCCCAACTTTGGATTAAGATCAAGAAAAACAATCAGTAAGAAAATACATGATAAATATAATACAAGTCTTTCAAATACCATGTTTATATCATAACTGTTATGTCAGTGCCATAGTTTTATCATCAACCACTGTCGGTAAGATTCCAATGTTTTGACATAAATTATACTAACAGCTTTTAACAAATTAAGTCCCATCTTCTTCAGTGTTAGGGCGTGGGGTAGCCTAGTGTTAAAAGCGTTCGCTTGTCACGCCGAAGACCCGGGTTCAATTCTCCACATGGGTGCAATGTGTGAAGCCTGTTTTTTGGTGTCCTCCGCCATGATATTGCTGGAATATTGCTAAAGGCAGCGTAAAACCATACTCACTCACTCCTCAGTGTAAACTCAGTATATTAAAGGAGATTCTTCTTACTTGTTTTGGACATTGATCTGCCCTGAAATTGAGTAGTTATGTACAGTCAATCATGAAAGAATTTTCCCCATCAAAGTTTATGCTCTTATCACTTATTATGTACTCCAATGCACCAACAAATCAATTCATCTTTGATAATCTACTTTAGTCTTCCGATACAATTAATTAAACTGAACTTCAGTACCCAGTCTCCAGATAAATCATCTATAGCCATAATTATCGATACACTTACATTGATGCATAACAATTTTCTATCTGATTTGATGGATTTTTGATATTATGTGCCAGTCATTTATCATGAATATACCCATGTCGTCATGGACGGACTCAAGAAAACACAAATGCTGCCAGATGTTAGCTTCAACTGGCTTCATACATGGATGGGAGAAAAACAAAGATGTAATTCTCTGTTAGTCTCGCTGCATTCACACAATGCTGAGTGTCCTGAGATGTCCTCTCCCAACTGCGTCAAAACATGTCTACACCATGCCGTTGTTAGCTGTCCATTAGGTCCAGCAGGTCGTCGCTTTGGCTGGAGGAGCCGCCCTCCACTGTCAGCTCACCCATTATCTTACTGAGTTGAGCATTCTTTTGTTTCTGAGGAAATAAATTACAGCAGTAAGACAAGTGCAGAATTCCTTGCTGAACAATACTCAATGCAACCATATTTCAGACCCACTAATGATCCCTTCATCATGTTCATGTTGCCATTTATTTGACCCACTATCTCTTCATCACGTCCATGTAGCCATTCATTTGACCCACTATCCCTTCATCACGTACATGTTGCCACTTATGTGACCCACTATCCCTTCATCACGTTCATGTGTCACTTATGTGACCCACTATCCCTTCATCACGTTCATGTTGCCACATATCTGACCCACTATCCCTTCATCACATTCATGTTGCCACTTATCTAACCCACTATCCCTTCATCACATTCATGTTGCCACTTATCTAACCCACTATCCCAACATCATGTTCATGTTGCCACTTATGTGACCCACTATCCCTTCATCACGTTCATGTTGCCACTTATCTGACCCATCTATCCCTTCATCACATTCATGTTGCCACTTATCTGACCCACTATCCCTTCATCACGTTCATGTTGCCACTTATCTGACCCACTATCCCTTCATCACGTTCATGTTGCCACTTATCTGACCCACTGTCCATTCACGTTCATGTTGCCACTGATCTGACCCACTATCCAACATCACATTCATGTTGCCACTGATCTGACCCACTATCCCAACATCACGTTTATGTTGCCACTTATCTGACCCACTATCCCATCATCATGTTCATGTTGCCACTTATCTGACCCACTATCCCTTCATCACATTCATGTTGCCACTTATCTGACCCACTATCCCTTCATCACGTTAATGTTGCCACTTATTTGACCCACTATCTCTTCATCACGTTCATGTTGCCACTTATCTGACCCACTATCCCATTCATGTTGCCACTTATCTGACCCACTATCCCATTCATGTTGCCACTTATCTGACCCACTATCCCAACATCACGTTCACGTTGCCACTTATCTGACCCACTATCCCAACATCACGTTCATGTTGCCACATATCTGACCCACTATCCCATTCATGTTGCCACTTATCTGACCCACTATCCCTTCATCATGTTCATGTTGCCACTTATCTGACCCACTATCCCTTCATCACGTTCATGTGGCATTTATCTGAAATGAACAATCCATTCATTCAACTATTCATCAGAACAACTATCCTCAATGCTACCATCTATCTGCAGCACAACCCATCCAAGAACCACAAACCCTTCAGGCAGCCAGGGACACCACCTTGAAAGTTCATACTGAAATGCTGCTCACCTTAGATGCATCTATCTTGACCACCTTGGATTCTGCTGTTTCTATTGGTCGTATTGCTGCTGCTTGTCTGGAGAAAGGTAGAAAGTACTCAATTAGAATATGGAATAACAACTTCTTTATGTATACATGTCAACAGACATGAGAATCCTATGATTGACAGTGTCAGCAATGATCCATTATGTTCTCATTTTGTGATGAACTAGAGGGATGTGAAGATATCACTTCCAAGTGAATTGTTACCTGTCGGGTGTCAGGGTGTTGTACCCTTCCTCCCTAGGCATTTAGAGTTTGATTAGCTTGGTAAATGCACTTTCCCAGTACATTCACCCTTCTTAACTTGACTTCAAATTTTCCTTAAATATCCATAAAATGTATATAATGTTTTCAACTCTAAATATCCTGGTTATAGAATCTTATAATAATATAAAAATACTTTATTGCCCGACAAAGGAATTTGTTTTACAACAGTGAGACATACAGCATGGTTAAAACAAATTAGGCAATGAAACGCGATCATCTTAAACACACAGATATAAGGATGAGAAGAATAACCAGTGTATACTGTAAGAGACTAGTAGACAAATGTATTTAAAATTATGGCTATGTCCAACATTCATTTAAAAGTTTAATGCTAACAGGTATAAATGCTGTCTGTGACCTTTTTGTGCGAACTTTAGAGACGAGAAATCTACATCCAGATGGTAAAAGTTTAAAACAAAAATGTAAATCATGAGACGGGTCGGATAAACTTTTAGGAGACCTTGGGGATGATGGAGGATGATAGTGAGAGGATATGAACGTGGTACTTACTCCTCCTCTTCATCTGTGTGGAATAGATTCAGACGGAATTCAGTTTTTTTGGTGACATTTGTGCCAATGAGTTGTGAGAGAAGGTCCAGGTGAGCCTTGGCAAGTGGGTTTGGGGTGGCTGAGTCCTGAAAGAGGGAGACGCACAATGGCTTGGTGGACAAGAATATTTTCTGATGGATGATGGAGAACATACTCCAGTTCATGCTCAATAATCTCCAGTGTATACATTACGATAAATCTCCACTAGTACCCCCGGATGCATCAATGGCTCGGCCCGATAATTTTATTACCTCCCTTTGCTGGCTCCGCATTCTCACAGTAGACAACCAAGCTTGCCAGTGTCAACAAAGATAGCGGTCGCAGCCGTGAAGGTTTGTTCGCAGTGCAACTCAGATTTTTGGGGGAAATCATACAGACAAATTGACAGGTGTGAAAGACTGAAACGTTAAATAATATACTCTTTCTACCTCTTTCAGAGTACCTCTGGAACAATTATGTTGCCAAGTTTAATCGGTTAGATGAAAGAAGCGAAAGTGAGTTGTGATTGGTACGCTCAACTTCCCAGCGTAGACACTTGATTGGATAAAAAGCCAGCCAAGGGAGGTAATAAAATTATGGGGCCGAGCCGTAGATGCATCCAGGCTATAGTGGAGATTTATCGGAATGTATACCCTGGAGATTATCGAGGAAGACTCCAGTTCAGAAAGTGCTTATTTAGGAGATATAAGCATTCTTTACAATGAACTTCTTGGCATTGCAGATATGACCTTGCCAAAAGAACTGTTAAGAATTAACATCGACCCAAACTCACGATATCAGATACTGTGGAGCCACTGTGTGCAGAACTACTGGTCAACTCCACTGGCCGGGCCACAGAGTACCTGAAGAACCATGCACAATATAGTATGTTACAGAATCAATGTTCTGGACATTACAAGCATACTAACATGGATTGTTACATCAGTATTAACAGAACTTATTCCGTTGGTATTGTTCTGGTCTGTGATAATGGTATTGATGTAATTTGCCGCAGTAGTATTGGATCTGTCTGTTACAGCAGTACCAACTGAGTTTGTTGCAGTGGTATTGTGTAGGTATGTTATGGTATAGACCTGGGATGTAGCTACAGCATTGCTTTGGTATGTTACATTGTAAAAGTAATGATAAAATCATTTCAAGGATCTTTAGAATCATACATTATCATGATTATGTATTGAAATGACTGAAGAATCAAACTGCCTATTACACATTATACATCTTACACCATAAGTTGTTCACCTGTAATATAATGAAGCAAATATCGCCCTGATCATAAAGTGCCATCTTCAGACTAAAGAAAACAAAGTACAATTAATCAGTGCTGTATGAGAATCCCATGTTCATTAAGAGAAGTACAGTGCCTAGTGACCCTCTGATGGTGACCTACTCACATGTTGGTGCCCAGCTTGGTGACCCTGTCCCCCTTCATGTCATATGACCCCTCCTTGGCTGCCAAGGAGTAGCTGTTGCAGGGGAAGGAGCTGCTGCTCACCTTACTGTCTTCACTGAACGATCTGCCAACACAGTCACAGCAGCCAGTCAGGGATAGGGCTGGCTATCGATATTGATCACAGATATCGTTAATTGTGAATTGAATATCATATCGATAAATATCAGAGAAGTAACTTTGAGCAAACTGCTACAAAAATCACACAGATTCTTCTCCTAAAATGCTTCTTACATCTCGTTCTAGCATCTTAAGAAGTCCCTGTGTAATGAGACATAATGAATGAAAGGGTTTTGAACAAAATACATGTGAAGTGAGTGAGTGAGTATAGTTTTACACTGCTTTTTAGCACTATTCCAGCAAACATCACTGCGGGGAACACCAGAAATTGGCTTCACACATTGTACCCATGTGAGAAATCGAACCTGGGTCTTCGGTGTGACGAGTGAGCGTTTTAACCACTGGGCTACCCCACCGCCCCTAAATACATGTGAAGACTGTCAGTTGGGCTTAGTTTGGTTCTTACGTGAACTTCTTTCCTTTTCCAGAGAGCAATGGCACAGTGCTTGTACCCACCTTATGGTGCCGGGCACCTCTGTGCCCCAGGGGAGTTCTCCAGACGTCTGCAGCACGAAGCGGCCATTGTTACTCTGTACTTTGTCTTTTAGAAATATAGAAACCTGGAAAACAATATTTACAACCTGAAATATTGCTGTTGTGCCAGACACTCAGTCAGTCAGTTACAACCATAGTGTAGATGCTTGATTGGCATTTTAGAAGATGATATTTGATGAACATAGGGATTTTTTCTGGGTTACATCTTCTTTTTATTCTCGAGTACAACGTTTCAGGGCTTGTTCTGGCCCCATCATCAGGTAAACTGAACAGTAACTGTTAACTCTGGCTGTGACGTCAGCAGACTCCTAAAGAAAATGGCCAGCATTGACACCACTTTCTCATCTGGCAAAACCCTTAAAACTTTGCTACGTGCAAATGGTAAGGGGTGCAATCACGCTATATCCAACCCTAAAGGCTGTGTGAAATGTGACTGTGGTGACATCTACATTGGTGAGACAGGCAGACCAGTAGCTACACGTGTGAAAGAGCACAAAACTTCAGTGGACAAATCAGATCTAAAATCTGCAGTTTATGAATAATCCCGATCATGAAATTGACTGGGAAACTGAAGTCCTCTCAAAAAACATCAGTGCCTGGCGTAAACGCAAGTTGATTGAAGCTATCTTCATCAAACGCACAAAACCAGCAATAAACAGGGACCAGGGTGTCTACCTCCCAAATGCATGGTACATAAAACAATAAGACAATACCCTACCCTCGTCACTGTTCCCATGTATAAAGCATAATTTCTATGTATACACTGCTATAACTTTACATTCTATACATTTATAAATACGTCTCTGTACATTTCTAATTCAATCAACAATTTTGTATAAGTATCTGCACAGTTCTAAATTGATCCATTAATTTTGCAGTAAATGACATCTTATATATTCATAATAACATGTATTCTATTAGCCATGTCATCTGTATCTATTGACCACCGCATGTATTGCGTCGTCATAGCATTGTGACGTCATAAGCATTGTGACGTCACGGCCAGAGTTAACAGTTACTGTTCAGTTTACCTGATGATGGGGCCAGAACAAGCCCTGAAACTTTGTACTCGAGAATAAAAAGAAGACGTAACCCAGAAAAATTCTCTATGGTAACCATAGTGTAGTGGTCAGCAAGGGAACAGCAAGGTTACAGTCCCATACAATGTTACATGTAGTTGCTGAATGCAAGCACTACAGGTGTGTATAACATCAGAACTGCATGTTACAGGGACACCAGAAATGGGCTTCACACATTGTACCCATGTGGGGATTCGAACCCGGGCGTGACGAGCCAACGCTTTAACCATTAGGCTACCCCACCACCCCTCTTTCTGAAGAGGCTTACAGAGGCCACAGACTATATACGGCATGTTCTCATTTCGCCTACATCCCAATTCGCCTACAGTCTTAAAACAACATTTCATGGTCTGTTGACTGTTGATTACGCAATGGTAAACTAGTGTCACCCCTATGATCTAAAAGTGGACTCTTCTAGTTGAAGTAGTTGAAGGACAAAAAGAATTTATTTCTGTTATTTGTCTGTTATTTATTTATGTTGTTATTTGTCATTTTCCGATCACAATGATATTCACATCATATGACATTAGTGTTAAGGAAGTTAACTTGTGCAGATGTCCATTTAGGAGATAAACATACTGTGTTGGAAAATTAGAGGTTCATAACGAATTTAAGGTGAAATGATTTTAATTCAATTTCTATTTCCATCAGTCCAAATGACATTGCTAGTTTCCGACATACACTGAGACAAAACAAAGAGAAAGCCTTAAACTGGTGGTAAACAGTCTTTATATTCACATGTCCTATGCATTTAGATACACAATTTCCAAAATGTTTGATGTTTTAATAAACCAGCTATGATTTAGTTTGACATATAAAAACGTTTATGAAATACAAGGAATTATGCGATATTTGTTACCTACAAATACATTTTTTTGTCTTCCACCCCAAATTTAGTTTTTGATGCATTTTCAAATTTATCTGTACTTACCGCAAGTCCACCTGTTCTCTCCCAGATGAATAAGATAGATATGTAACAATGATTTGTTTGTGAAAAGAACATTAAGAGGTGCATTCTCACTTACATCAAACAAAGGTACCAAAATGGTTCTATTTCCGTAAAGCTTGAGGTTACAAAACATGAAATAAACCATGATATGGCTTCAGACTTCCTATAGTCATTAACATATTGTGCATGCAGAACAACAGTAAATTTGGATGTTAGGCAATATACAATCCATCTAATCACAGGATATACAAGGTATGATGTTGGTATTTGTAGGCAATTCAGAAAATGAGCCTTCAACTTCACTGATCCACCAACTTGTTACTTTTAGAGATTAGTGATGGCTACTGATTTTCATAAGAGGCAAATAAGTTGACTTTACATTGGTAAACAGAATTACAAGGTGCAAGCAATTCTGTTTGGGACACCTTATACCTAGCTGTGTAAACTTTTCGTTGGAATCCTTATAACAACAGTCGATCAAGATTAGTATGGCACTGACCAGTGAGTCAGGTTCATTATAAGAGTACGGGTGCAATTTCTAATCCCAATTAGCCTACATTGTTTTTGTATGTGAAATGGGATGTAGGCGAATTGAGATGTAGGCGAATAGAGACTAAACCCTATATACAATGCATTAGATACAGCTCTCCCAATCAGAGAGTCCATGTTGAGCAAGCACGAGGCCCAGTATCTCAACAGACGAACTCACCCTGATGTGCATATCTTGGAAGAAGTTGAGAAGTGTCTGTCTGACCAGGTGGAACTCCCCAGCAGACATTGGTACGTATGTCTGAAAGTACAAGCAACCCTCATTACAAATTTTACAAGGAAACTAGAGGCACATGCGTTTTTTTGAATGACATTTTCCAGCTATATGATGGTGGTCTGCAAATAATTGAGTCTCGACCAGACAATCCAGTGACTGATACCATGAGCATCAATCTGTGCAATTGGGTGAGTGAGTGAGATTAGTTTTACGCTGCACTCAGCAATATTCCAGCTGTATGGCGGCGGTCTGTAGATAATCAAGTCTGGACCAGACAATCCAGTGATCAACAGCATGAGCACCAATCTGCGCGATTGGGAACCAATGACATGTGTCAACCAAGTCATCGAGCTTGACCACCCGATCCCGTTAGTTGCCTCTTACAAGCATAGTCGCCTTTTGTGGCAAGCATGTGTTGCTGAAGACCTATTCTACCCCGGATCTTCACGGCTCTGTGCAATTGGGATACGATGACATGTGCCAACCAAGTTAGCGAGCATGACCATTCGATCTTGTTATTTGCTTCTTATAACAAGCATGGGTTGCTGAAGGCCAATTCTAACCTGAATGAATCTGGGTATATATATAGTTTTCAAATGTTCTAAATACAAACAGCCTGAGTTAGAATAACTCCCTTTGCCTTCACCCCTGACGTACTACTTAACATGATTCAGGGATTTACAAGGCTCGAATTCCTCTGTCCTTTATGCATAGAAATTGACAATAGACGCAACAAAATTTATTAGCGCATCCACAGGCACTCAGAAAAAGTCATGTAAGTCGCCAACACTTCGCCCAGATGTTACCGCCACCAGAAATACGGCCTTCCATGTTAACAGCTGAATATAAATAGCCGATAGACGTGAGAACGTAGGACCGGACAGCCAATCTAGCACGATTGACAAATCCCAAGGTGGGCTGGTTCGCCTGACAGCAGGTCGAACCCGATCCACGCCAGCTAAAAAGTGCTGCATAAGAGGGTGCTGCCCCAGAAGAGCACCATCGACAGGGGTGTGGAAAGTGGAATAAGCTGTGGAGCAGCAACGAATGGTCGAAGACACCAAGCCTTCTTCCAACGAGCTTGCAAAAACTCCAATAATCAGACTAAATCCACAGAAAAGGGATCTGCAATCCCCCTATCTGAAAACCAGCGTGCATAGCGGGACCACCTATCCTCATATTGAACGTTTGTCGAAGACAGAATTGTGTCTGTAACTGCTGCAGGAATTCTGCGTGCTTCGAGGCTGGCCCTGACAGAGGACCCAGGGAATGAGTGGTAGAGGCGGAAACGCCTACAGCACCTTGTCCGTCCAATCCAGCAGGAAGGCGTCGGAAGCCAACGCCTTCTGGTCCGGTATTCGAGAGCAGAACATGGGTATCTGATTCGTCCCACCGGACGCAAACAGATCCACCTGGAATGATCCATACAACTGGGAGATAACTCTGAATATCTGCCGGTCGAGCATCCACTCGTGCAGGGCCAGGATCCGTCGAGAGAGTGTCTGTTCGCACGTTCTCCAGCCTCAGGAGATAACCAGGAATCACCTGACAGTCACACTGGTCGCACCAGTTGAGAAATTCCCACGTCTCCCGTAGGGCTTCAACGAGTCCATTTTCTTGGACTCGAGTACTCGAGGGGTGAGACTCGACTCGGACCCGAGTACTCGAAATTCATACCTTTCAAGCAAACAATAGCGTAACTTGCATGACATGTGTTCCGATCACACAAGTGAACACTTACTTCATTCCGACTTTATATCGTTATGTGACTAACATATCCCATTGGTCAGAATCAGTATTTGGATGTTTACTTGACAAATGTTTTTTTCATCGTACTTCTTGTACTGCCTGCAAAACGCAGTGATATACCGCACAGGGGGCATTTGGTTATTTTTCTCTTTTCTCTATCCAGATCGTCACGCCCATACATTTGATTTTTATCTTTCTCCATGTCTATCAATTGTCAAGATAGTTATCTTATCATTTTAAGAAGTGAAATTTCAAACGCTGTATAAAATGTTCTCTCATCTGCAGACTTGTAACAACTAATACCATACAGCCACACCATGTGAGGAGTAAACTATTTAATCTAGGTGTCAATAAAAACATTATCAGATGGGTTAAAGAATTCAGGGTACATAGAACTCAGTATGTCAGTGTCAATGGCTATCAATCTTCTTTTCTCTCAACCTCTACTGCAGAACCAAATGGCTGTGTTCCTTCATCCGTACTCTTCGTTTTGTATACCAATGACTGTTACTTGTCAATATATGACGTGTTTACTGTGAAATTCGCAGATGGCGCCACTGTTGCTGGCCTAATTTCTGATTCTGAACATTATTATCGTCAAGGCATTGACAAAACCGTAATGACAGTTTTTTATCAAACCTTTATTCTAAGTGTGTTGACCTACAATTTTCTATGTTGGTATGGGGGTCTGTCTCATTGCAACAAAAACAAGCTTTTCAAAATTGTTAATACTGCTTGCAAAATTTCTGGGGTGTCTTTCAAGTATATTCCCTTTATCTATGAGCCAGATTGTCACAAAGGCAACTAAAATTAGATTTGATAGTTGACATATTTGATCTCACCATTTTGAACTACTTCCTTCTGGACGCTGCTGTCGATTACCTTCCCTCAAAACAGAGTTCGACAGTCTTTCATACCATCAAGTATTCGTGAATGCAACAAATATTTTAAATCACCATCAGGTGATTACAACTAGAATTATTCAGCCTCTTTACCTATGTGGTTAATTGAATTATACCATGTCAGTTTTATTGTGTAAATAGCATTCGTTTTGAGCATGTAATTATTGTGTATATTTTTGTGAACTGTGTACATATTCATATTGAGACAGTTGGATGTATAAGAATTTCCTCCGGGATAATAAAATTATATCTTTTCTTAATATTAGACGTTAACGGCCGCTCATGCTTAGCACATGGCAGGCAGTCTGTCAACGTCAATAATTCGAGTTATCTCCCCTTTTCGAGTCCTCGAGTCCTTGAAAATGGACTCGAGTCCAGCTAAACCCGACTCGTCCTCGAGTACTCGAGTACCCGTGGAAGCCCTAGTCTCCCGAAGGAGCGCTAGGGACACCGTGCCGCCTTGCTTCAGGATGTACGTCATGGCTGTACGGTTGTCCAACTGAAGATGAACCACCTGGCCCTAAACATGCTCCCGGAAGCGCTCAAAAATCAACCGCACAGCTCTCAGTTCTAAGACGTTGATGTGAAGGCGGGCTTCGGCTTTGGACCAGAGTCCCCCCAGCCTGTGAGGGATGCATCGGTTTGAACTGTAAGAGCTGGTGTCGGGATTTCCAAAGGGACCCCCTTGGAGAGATTCCCGACATTGGTCGACCACTGAAGGTGAGGAGACAATCACCCGGGGACTGTCAGACACTTCTCCAGATCCTCCGAGTGAGCCCACAGACACGCCAAAGCTTGCTGTACACATCCTCAACCGCGCCCGCCACACGACAGAGATAGTTGCCGCCAAATGACCCAGTAGACGGAGCCAAGTCCGCGGACTTGGCGCCGGTGCCTGGGGCTGGGAGAGGAACAAAGACACCATCTCCCGTACTCTGGTGACCTGGTCGGGCGGCAAAGAGACAAGACCCTTATGAGTTGTGAACAGAGAAAAAACAAGTCCTGGGTGGGTACCAAGTCGGATTTCTTGAGGTTTATGATCCACCCCAGTCGAAATAGAATGTCTATCACCGTGTGGGTAGAATCTAGGCTCGATGGCTGAGTTCGAGCGCTGAGCAACCAGTCGTGTAGGTAAGGGTAAAAACGTCTTCCTTGCGACCTTGTGAGGGTAGCCGGCACTAACATGGGCTTGGTGAACACCCTGGGGGCAGTGGATACGCCAAAGGGAAGCACCATGAATTGGTAAGACAACCGGAGGTACTGCTTGAACGATGGATGAATTGGCACATGTAGATACGCATCCTTTAAGTCGATCGGTGTAAGCCAATCGCCGGGCTGAACAGAGATCACCGAGCAAAGTGTCTCCATCTTGCAGGATAGAACCTCTAGCATGCGATTCAACCCCTTGAGGTTGAGAATGGGACGGAACCCGCCGTCCTTCTTTGGAACGAGGAAGTACGGGGAATAAAACCCCGCCTGTTCCTCACCCGGTGGTATGCGCTCTATTGCGGACTTGTCCAGCAAAGCCTGAACTTCGTCTAGCAGTATACCCGCCTTGACCGGACATGCAGCACTGGAGTGCGACGTATGCTGGTGAACTCTGGCGGGCCTCACTTCCACAGTGGTAGACGTCCGACACTGACGGTGGATAGCACCCAAGTGTTGCTGGTAGCCTTTCCCCACTCCGGTAGGAATAGAGAGAGGCGGCCCCCCACTGGGACATGTAGTAAGAGTGCGTGAGTGGTCCCCTGCAGATGAACTGGCTGGGATGGACCCACGCCGACAGCCTGCAGGTTTAACGGGAGGTCGGGGCAGACCCCCCGCGACCGCGAATAGGCTGCTTGGAGCCAGACAAAGAGGCCTGCTCCTTGCCCTTACCTTTGGTGGGACGGCTCTTCCTCCAACCTCTATCCAGCGGCCGAAGCCAGCCGGCAGACTCGGGCATAGGCTGCGTCCCGGAGGAAGAACCCGCTACGGGAGCGAGAAGCCTGCGGTTGCTCCAACAAGGCCTTAAGAGTCCTTGAAGGAGGTAGCTGCTGCAGCAGCCTCCCGAATGACCTGCTGTGCCCCCGGAAACAACGTCACTCCCAGCCTAAACGGAAGGGCCAGCAAGGCCAATAACAGGATGTAGACAGCCACAGATTGCGCAACCCCATGCTTGCCACATCACCATAGACGCGGCAGACCGTAAAGAGTCTTTTGTCAGGTGGGCCTGTACTTCGGATAATTGGCAGAGCAGAACAACATTCGAGGAAACGTCCTCAGTGCTCCCTTCCGCCTCCAGAGCCGACCTTTGTATCGAGGAAAGGTACGCCTCGTGGACCACAACACGCACCTGCAGCATGGCATCCAGTAGACTTCCTCATAAGTCTGGTATGCCTGCTGCAGGGGGGCGCCCGCTAGGTCAAATGGTGGAACTAACCGCCCTTGCTTAGCAGCCGGGGCTGCACCTAAGGAGGCCGAGGCTTCCCCCAGGGCGACCGAAGTAAACACACACTCGTCAACCACCGGCACAAAGAACAGAGAATCATCCCCCAGCTGATATCTCTTAACAAGTTCGGGTAGATCAAACCGTAGGTGAGAACCAATCAGGAGGGGATCCATCACGTCCTGCACCAGGGAAGGCAAGATACGGAGCTGTGTCTGAGAGGGTTGCCTAGGGGCAAATGCCTCACCCGGCAGGCGGACCTCAGTCGAGTCTGAGCGACATTTCGGCACCGCAGCTTGGGGAATATACTCGGCAATACATTGCCTAACCTCCTGGAGAGCCGACGAAAAACCGAAAGTACCCTCCGACTCCTTGACCTCCCCAATCTCCATAGACTCGGCACCCGAGCCCGAGTCAGAATTCGGATCTCCACGTGAAGAGGAGCCGAACCCAGACCCGGTGGGAGGCCGAGCCACAGACGCCGCGGGAAGGGAAGAGCCGAAGGAACTCTCAGCTCCGGCCACCGACACAACACTCAAACCCCGGTCCCGAGACACGGGAGGATGGCCGGACAGAACGAGCGCCTCTGCTCTCACGGGGCGGGGCGGCGCAGGGTCCAGAACCCCAGGAATCCTCAACGGACCCTGCGCCAACACCGAGAGAGGGACTGGGAGCGAACCCAAAGCCAAAGGCAAAGGATTGACAGACGCCTCCTGGCCAAGGGATCGAGCCGAGCACGCGGCGATCCCACCCCCGGATTCTCGGTCCCCCGATCAGAGTGGGAGACGAACTCCTGCCGGAGACCTCCAACTGACTTGTGAACGAGGGACTTCACGGAGTCCATATGCTGCTGAAACAATTGAGTGATAAGTGACATATCAAAACCACTGGACAGAGACGGAGAGTGTGACCTATGTGAAGACTTAGTTTTAGTTTGCTTAGCCTTTTTGGCCTTGGACGGGGGAACCTCCTGGGTCAGGTCCCCTCCCGCCTCACACAATTCCTTATAAAAAAGGAAATCAGCCGCCCGTCTCTTCTGGGCCCAGGGGGAGAAGCCCATGCACAACTCACATATGGCAGGGTAATGCCCTGCCTTCTCCAGGCAGCATAAGCATTTGTCATGCTTATCAGAACGGGGAATATTTTGCCCGCAGCACATCCCGTAAACGCCTGAAAGCAAACAAGTAAGCATGTAGCTAACGGCGTACATAACAGCATAATATACACGTACAAAACATCGAAAATTACATGAATGCGAGAACGCAACATGAAATACTTAGTTAATAACGCAATATTTCAACCACGTGGCACACTAAAACTTCCCGCCATGGAATAGTAACACGTGTGTAAACCACGGGAAAGCTAGCGTAAAAGTGTAATACAAAGTCACATAAATGAGAAATAACAGACTGCAAAGTCCATAAAACGTTTCTCAAAACGAATACAGACCATACATACAGTTGTTGAAGTCTCAGACATTCTTCTACACGAAGTAAATCAGCTAGTAACTCAGGTTGGAAATACGTGTGAACGCTTGAGTGACAGCAGAAGCAATGATGATACGGGCCTATGTGCTTACCTGGTTGGATGCGCATGCCTAGCAGGGAGGTAACTCCACGTGGTGGGGGCCGTATAATAGATAAAAAAGATTTACATGTATTGTACAATATTTTTATTAAAACATTGATACAACTGTCACATGACATTTTCAGCCGCAGAAAATGCATATATGTACCCCAAGGACGATCTTTATGAAAAAGAATTTAAGTTTCTGGGACCCCCATTTTGTTGTCAAAGACCCCTGAAAATTAAGAGTATGAGTCCCAGGGACCCTCAAATACAGGACTCCATGTAAATCCCTGATGATTACAAAACAGTGCATTTGAATCAGAAATAGAACAGTGTCTTTGTTCCCTCTATTTTAATTTTAATCACTACAGTGTGGTAACACAACACTTTATTGATCATACAATGTTTTGCTCGTCCGAGATGTTTTATATAACACATATACATAGAAAGTATCAACAACTGGAACCTTTGGGAATTTATTGTCACCTAAAATTGTGATGTGTAAACTTCAGATGGTGTATAACAGTTCAATTCCATAAAAAAACAAATGACACTGGGCAGATGCATAAAATGTTGTAAAGGATCTTTCCTTCTGCTATCTTTATTTCTGAAAGCACAAAAAGGTGTTTTCCACAATTCATAACTACTTTTGAGATGTACGAGTACCGTATATGACCGACTATAAGTCGGAAATTTGATACCAGAAAATGTAGGCAAAAAATCAGACCCGACTTATACTTGAGTTCATTAATCTACCCAAAAAATTCCCGAGGTCAGGTGTGTGAATCTGCCAGCCCTGCGAACTCAACTGGCAATGTTTACACCGGAAGCAGGAAGTATATACGTACTGACAACGTTTCCAAAGGTAAATGACATCGTGTCCGAGCGTGAAGATTGAGGCGGCGATACCGATTCGTACGGGGAAAGGGGCCGACTTATACTTGAGTTACATAGTTTTGGCAAGAATTTAGAGGGTTGAGAAAGGGGCCCGACTTATAGTCGGATCCGACTTATAGTTGGTCATACACGGTATGTTTTAGGTTTGAAGTCTGTTGTTAAAGAATCATCTCATCCAGACAATGTTTCAGACACAGATTGTCAATACTTAATGGTTACCTGCTAAATAGATTTCAATGTAAACTTATGTTCAATCAATTCGCTCATTTTCTATGTACAAACCCACGTACCTCAATCAACATTCTATATACATGGTCCACCTGCTGTCTGGCATTGGAGTCCCCATCAATGTAGCTGCGTACAGCGTCCATGTGGTTGAAGGTGATGAGCAGAATCTCTTTGGGACGGAGACACAGGGAGATCTGGTACTTGAAGGCCATCGTCATCAGATCATACAGCTAAAATGTCATACAACAAACATCACTAAATGGACATACACATGGTTAACAACTGTGACTAATGATTAAAAGCCTACAAGTAATTTATTTATAACAGGAAAAAGAAGAATCCTTCAGATCAGGTTCTTTACAAGTGAATATGATTATTCCTGTAAAGTTCGATTTTCTTATGAGCACCATTAACAAATTCTCAAGTAAATTTGATGAAAACAACACATGAAAATTGTATGACGTATGTAAAAATATAAATCTTTGAGAATGCTGTTTAACTACCAATATTTTATGTGCCTTATCTAAACTTAAGTGTTTCTAAACTGTGCTATTTATATACTATACTGCCACATATTAATATTTGAGTTATTATAAATGTAATGTACAGGGTAATCGATAATAATTACCCTATATAAATATGTTTACTATTTACGACGTATTTTGGGTATACTAATTCCCGCGGTATCAGTTACACTGTCCATATAGTGTTGTTCCGTGCCAGTGCACTGCAACATATAGTTTACCGTGATCTTAGGATTACGAGAGCTCATACAGTCGGAATTAGTATGTAAAACAGATCCAAGCCTTCTCTTCACCTCGTTCCATTGGTCTACCTGATGTGGCGTAATTTATTTAGCAACTTTGGTGTTGATTTGTGCTGCCTCAGGTAAGCTACGTCTCGATATGGGCGCTGCCATGTTGTGACGTCATAACAAGGTGTTTAGAAGGTTTCGTATCTAGGATTTACGTCACAATAGAAATAACGGAGATCAGGTATTCTTCGATTAACGGTTGAAGGAGACAGACGAATGATTAAGAGTTGGATGATGGCATCTCCATCGTAGGGAAGAAAAACCATGAATAACCTGTAAGTTTACACCCGGCTTGCCAGAGGCACTCTACTCAATGAAGCGCATGTAAAATCTTTCTACTGTTGTAACTATATATAATTGTACTGTACCTTATAACTTGTAGAGTAACGCATTGGGCGGCATGATTGCATATTGTCTTTACTGTTAGAAGTTGGCTATTGTATATAATAAATTCTATCGTTGGTAACTTTTATGACTTGTGAAATTATGTACTAGTTAAAACTGTTGTGTTGCTGTGGCTGGAAGAGAAAGATCCACATACCCACAATGTCACAGTACATACCTCTTTAGCCACCCCGTAGACCGTTACATAAACATTCAGGAACAAATACAAGATTACCGCATGCATGATAACTGACCTTGTCCATACTGGCGGCATTGAGCCTCATGATGGAAGCATGTGCCAGTCTGTCGAACACTGTCCTCATGGCCTTCTTGGAGTATAGCGTCTGTGGCTTGAAAAGCTCCTCCATGAAGCGTTTGTTGAACATCGTCTGTACGATGTCATTCAGCACTGAAACAAAGCAAATGAATGAGTCTGAGAGACATATGTGATTACCTCACTGAACACATGGAAATCAGTATCACAATATACTGTGATCATGGTACCGGTATTGCAATAGCCATTGCAATATACTGGCACTGGCAGTTAGTGACACTGTTTGTTACTGACACTGATCGTACATGCATACTCAAGCCCAGTTCTGGGCTACAGTTATGCTACAGTTCTGGTAACACCAAATCTCAAAAGCAATTTGGATGGTTAGGAATTGTTTTTTTCATTTTTTAAAATACTTTTTATAGTGTGGAAAGTATTCTGTTTGTCAATTAATTATGAGTGAGAGAGTTTAGTTTTACACCACATTCAGAAATATTCCAGCTATATGGCGTTGTTCTGTACATAATCGACTCTGGACCAGCCAATCCAGTGATCAACATCACGAGCATCGATCTACGCATTTGGGAACCGGCGACATGTGTCAACCAAGTCAGCGAGCTTTACCACCAGATCCCATTAGTCACCTCTTACGACAATCACGGGTTACTGAAGATCAATTCTAACCTGGATCTTCACGGGTTCAATTAATTATGAAGGAAACATAGATTGTGAATGAAAGTATAAGTAGAGTTTGACTTAAACCATAGAGATATTTACAAAACTTCTTATGTTCTATTATCGACTATACTGGTTCTCATAAACGATATTACAGTATGTATCTTTTGAAAAGCCAATGGCGGTAATATGGTAATTCAGTGCAGTTTTAGTTTCCTCCTGGAATTTCTGAGCTGTTAGCATAACACGGCTACATACCAGCAACAATTGTTAACTTAATTTATTTATGTGAGGCACTCGAATAAAAATGTTGTTGAACAAACGATCATTATTTTGTTGTCCCTTTTCTCTATTTTTTACGAGGGAGGACCACTTACCATGCTTACTGGTAGAACAGCCAGGTAATCAACAAGCATGTGTAGTAAAATTTCACACGTACAACTCGCGCACCTGGCTGTTCTACCAGCAAGAGGTCCCCCTGGTAAAAAAATAGCAAAAAGTGACAACATTTTTTTTTTATCGTTTGTTAAACAACCTTTTTATTTGGATGTCCAAAATTATGAGACAAATCATCAGAGTTGGTCTGTCGATTTCATGTGACTGTGCCAAATTTGGTTTTGTTGCATTTATTAGATTTTGTGTTAGTGAGCAATTCATCGGTCTCAAATGAAATCAAACGGACTGTAAATATATAGTAAGGATTGACACTCTGTACAGTGAATCATGGCAACATCGATCAAATTATTATGTTGTCCATGTTATTAACATCATGTACAAGAACAGATGAAGGTCTTCATTGGGAGGATGGGGAAGCCTCACTGGAAGAATGCATCAGAAATATCCAGGAACACAAATAATTATGACTTTCCTCAAGGGGTGAGTAAGTCAGTTTAAATCAGAATGGATAATCCCATGCAACAAAGGGATACTGAAAATTATGATTGATCATGTTGATACAGGAAGGAAGTACATCTTCGACATGTTATTCAAAGGAACACCAATCATGTAGTATACCAATACCATTTGTTCCAAGTGTTTTACACTTCACATCAGTCATGATCAATGGGTTGTCACGGTAACTACCATGCTATCGTGTTTTCTAAGATGTTTCGGTGAAAGATGAAAGGCGCCGACAGTACTTTATCAGACGATAATGTGCAGTTTTTGCATTACGTCACAATGTATTGGCGTCACTGCCCCCTTCTAGTCTGCCCCCTCGTTATCAAACACTTTTGAAATACGTCACAATGTAACCGACGTCACGATGCATGTCAGTTGTCAGCGCCTCGTACAGGCTCCTACAGTAAACTATTCAGTTGCATCCCGTTTCTTGGTTTGCAGTTGCTTCACTCAGCTAACATCACTGGTGGAAACATTACGTTTATGTTTTCCGACGGATAACATGTCTCAGTGTGACTCACAATTTAACAGCTACATGGCAACGTGTGCAATGTTTACATTCCCACAATGTATCCGTGGAATGTGTCATGACTTGTCAGCTTCATCTGGATGTACTGATCTAAACTTACGTTGGTAGTAGAAATGCGACTTTCATATTGCCCCATATGAATTACGTTAATCACAGTGTAATTAAAATAATTTAGATAAGATATTTAACCTGAACATTAACCGTCATCAAACTGTATATCATTTGTTTCTCTGGTAACGTTCATCTTAACGTAGTGGGGGCAGACATGTCAATAGAACAGCACTTCAGTTAGCCCTGAGCGATGATTTTTAATGTAGGTCACCTACACGGTCATTTGTTTTCTGCCTTAGATTAATCGTAATTATTTTATCCTTAGAAAGGATTAAATTTGGCATCTTAGAAAAGTAATACAGTTCACTCTACCACCATGTATAGTGTAATAAAGCACACTTTTTTAAGACCAATTTTGTTGTTGCAGACTGGTTATATTACCTGGTTTTAGGATATGTCATAGGAACAGCTTTTATACTGGTCAGGAGTCCAAAACAAGTAAAGTTTACTTCAGTCTTTATTTAAGAAATACAGTTCGCTGTATATTGTGTAATAAAGCACACTTTCACCCTGAACTTATAACGTTAAAGCACGAGGACGCTAAAGGAATATAGTTCTCCCATGATAGGTGTGGGTTGTGTGGGTAAAAAGGTACTATATATCTCATGTTTGGTGTTCTATATCAAGTAACAGGACAGAAAAATCTCTTAGCATGCAAACAATTGTTTTTTATTTCATTCAGTCTTTTTCAAGTCAGTGCTGATACAATGTAGCTGTTTTCCCCATGTGTGATCAGTTTTTCTGTTATTGACAATGCTTGGTTGAGGTATTGACATATGTGAATGGGTTATCGATAGCTGTTTGAATCAGGTATTGACAGGCAGTTAATCTTGTGGAACAGAACCTCAATGTGAATGTAAAACAATCTTGTTCATTTCTAATTCCAGGATAACACCAAAGGGACCTGCTCATACATGAACCTCACTCAGTCCTAATGGGCATACTCCATAAGCTTGAATCAACCTCCACTCAATTCATATCATGAGGTTACAGTGAGAATATTTAATCAGTGATGGAAAGATGACAATGTTATAACATGACCCATGTCGGCTGTATGACAAAGATTTCTCATTCCAGCTCACTGATGACAGCCTCAACATATCATAAACAGCGATACCTGGAGACAGCGATTGAGTGTGGTTGAGCCTGTGTCTTTGGCGTGACAAGTGAACACTTTATCACTTGGCTACCCAACCGCTCCCACATGGAGACAAAATTTTGGACACAGATAAAACACAGTTGAGAAAGTCCAGTTCAAATCGTGCACCTTTAAGCATGTTACTGTCCATTAATAATGTATGAGAAGAACAAATCAATATATACACAAGCTTTCAGCAAGTGTAACCATGGTAACAAGGATAAAACTTTGACTGAAACACTATGAACCATATGGGATACTGACATCACAAATACAAAAAAAATAGCAAAAACATTGCAGCCCTCTTAACATGTTAGTTAACATTTTGACCAGGCTGACGGTATGGTAATTTGGTCATCTTGGAAAGTTACAGCGACCACTTACAATACAATTATTGTGATGATATGGCTTGCACTATATTCTGTCTCTCCCATTAATGATAGGGGCATTAGCAGTTGTTCAATTATTTCTATCATCCAAATAACCTACCAGCATGCTCTTATAAGCCCCACCAGAGCAGCACTACCCTTGTACTGCAATAGAATAATCAATGATTTTCACCTGCATCCAGTCAGGGGTAGTGAGCTCCATATCTCAGTAGTGTGGTTTAAGTTTACATTGATCCTGTGGCCATGCTTGGCAGCATCTGATTTTCTTGGAGCACTCATTAAGTCATCACACTAGCCCACAGTATGTAGACCAAACATGTTATTTGTGGCTGTGTGTAGGTGAGGTAATGACTGAACATGCACTGTACATATTCAGGGCAGAAGCTACTGACTTCCAGCTCATTGTCTTGGATTAAGACAAGCCATCAAATAATGGATTATCATGTTCAATTCTTGTGTCATTTGCTTAAATTATCATATTTTGAAATCCCAAAATGTTCTCTATGTTGTGTTTCTGTAATAACAATGAAGAATTAATGCTTGTGAGACTGTGGGCCGGGGTTATGGTTATGGTGCTGACAAGTTGTCAACCACATTAATCAGTCATGACTAGGATGTGCATGATTACACAAATATCATATCCTGAAATGACCAAGGGACACAATTCAGATTATTCACTGGCATTCTGAAGTTTATTTATATTAACAAAACTACATTCACCTTTGTAAACACATGAACATTAACAAGGTCAGAAGACTAGCGCTATTGTAAACGTGATGTGATCTGGAAGATCAATAGCAACTATCTGTTTAGCTCTCGTCACATTCACTAAGTCTTCAGTACCCCTGTACTGAAGTCTTGTTTCAGCATGTTGGCATATTTCTCAAGACATCTGTGCATTAACAAGCAAAGAAGTGACAAATTGTTTATTTTCCTGTCACGCACTCACAACTCTCCTGCAGCATGACACTTTTCGATGAACAACTGTAAATCAGTGACAGTTATTCAGTGTAGAGTAAACAAAATAACAGGGGGCGCGGACACGCAGCCCTGAGTTCAGCAATATTTCTCTAGCTTACCTTTCTTTGCTTTTTCGCTTGGGATATTCTGAGCCCGTAGTCTTTGGTCTAATATATACATCATCTCTCCACCAAGATTGATGAAAAGCAAGGGCAGTGTTTTCAGTGACATCTTCGCCGACTGCTGAAGTGTGTCTCGTTTCTAAGATAATCCCTCACACCTGCGATATGATAGCTTCGGCAGGCAACCGACAGTTCTCGTTTGGTCTCGTTCGATCAAAACAACCTTACGAGATGTCAAAGGTCACAACATGGCCGAGTTCAGTGTGTTTTCGTTTTTAGTGTCAGTGGTAGTGCCAGGTTTGTTACTATTGTATGTATTTGTCACCTGTTTGAAACGACGGAATCATGACAAGCAGCCTCCTGTTTATCAAGGGTGGATACCGTGGCTTGGATGCGCGATTGAATTTGGAAGATCTCCTTTGACATTCATCCTTCAAAAACAAGAAGAGGTGGGCAGGAACAATATCAGTACCTATATACTATACTCGGCGCCATTAACGAAGGGTCAAGCTGTTGGTAACACTATTGGTAAGAGTTCCTCCCGTTCCCCCATCCCAAATAATATTTATAAATTAATATATACTAAAATTATTAACAAAACTTAACAGAACAATTACTAGAGAACTCACAAAAATGACTAAAAGTCCAAAATTTAAGTTAGGTTTAGGGTTAGGTTTAGAGAAAGGTTTTGGGTTAGGGGAACGGAAGGAACTCTTTCCACACTATTTCTTAAAAGTTGTAAAATCTTCATTTTTGTTTGAATTATATACAACTGAATGTTTTACAAACTTTCCTATAAGAGTATGGAAAAACACATTGATCAGGCCATTGAAATGTCATTATTACGTTAAAATTCTTTAACATCAATAACAATACTTTATTAGATCTACCTGTGAGGGAATTCTTGTGTAAAGTACAGAGCTCAAACATTGATAAAATTATGAAATTATTTTCATACAATAAATAACACACATATAACATGCTAACAAGCTATGACAAACACTAGGAATGAAAGATTAATACTGGTGGGAACAAAGGATTTCATGGCACCATTTGGATTTAAAACGGGTTAAATTATAACAGCACCCAGAAGGCAGTAATTTATACTCATAGTGAATGGGATGATCTGGATCAGATATAATCTTACGGCCTGACTTGAGAACTCTTTCTTCATATATTTCATTTAGGTTAGCAAGAGATACACCTGCAATTTTACTGGCTAATAAACCTATTCTGGTGAGACAGTTTCTGTTTTTAAGGGACAAGGTTCCATACCAGCATTGTACAGAAAATGCCAGAACGCTCGTATAAAGCACTGATAGAAAAGACACATAATTGATTGATTAACATTGAAAGATCTCAATTTGCTCAAGAAGTGTAACCTTTGTTGACACTTATTGAATATAGCATCTGTGTTTACATTAAAATTCAGTTTGTTATCAATATATGTACCAAGATACTTGTATTCATAAACAGTTTCAACAGGTTCATTGTAAATTATAACTGGCAACTTGGTGTTCTTGTTAGTTCTGAAGTCAATAATAAGTTCCTTAGTATTCTTCATATTCACTTGAAGATAATTATGTTCACACTATGATACAAAGTCACTTATATCATCTCTATGATCATGATGATGCTGTTCATCCTCATTCTGTATGAGCCCAACTGGGGCTGCATTGGTGTACAAGATAAATAATACAGGTGTTAGAACACAGCCCTGCAGTGCACCGATATTTGTCTTTATAGTAGATGATGTAGATGAATTCACCCTGACAAATTGCAACCTGTCAGTCAGAAACTGTTCAACCCACAGCAATATGTTACTGATGATATTCATGGACATGAGCTTCTGCAATAAAATATGTAGTTGAATAGTACTGAATGCTGAAGAGAAATCTACAAATAGGATATGTACCTATGATTTAACAACATCCAAATGTTTATATATAGTATTTAACAAAGACAATTTTGCATCCTCCACACCTCGTCTGGCTCTGTATGCGAACTGAAAAGGATTTAACGCAAGTGTGACATCTCGTATGAGATGTGACAGAACAATCCGTTCAAAACATTTTATAACAACTAATGTGAGGGCATTTGGCCGAAAGTCATTCAATTCTGAAGATTTAGGGTTACTTTTCTTGGGAACCGGGATTATTTCAGACGTTTTCCTAACGGATGGTATTGTATGATTATAAAATGAAAACTGAAATAGCTTATACAATATATAACATAGTTGTTAACATACATTCTGTTACAAATGGCATATTTTTTTATTTAAATTGTCAATATGGAAATCCACCTGCCACTTAATGTCAATGCTTTGAATGTGAAAGTCGCTCTTTCATGGAAAGTGGAGGACAATACACATGCATTGATGCTTCATTGTTCAGGTACCTGTTTGAAATTGCAGCATAAAATGAGACATTTTTTACACTTGCTGAAAGATGTCAGGCTATGTACACACGCCATCCAGCACCAGTGGATCTCCCAGGACTCCGCAGAGCTCTACTAGAGGAATAGAATACAATTCCACCAGCTTTCTTTATGAACTTAATAAGGAGCATGAGAACAAGGTGCACCTGTGTCTTGGGTACACAAGATATTGAATGACCGAGTGTTTGTCATTTTCATTTTGGGAGGTGGCTCTGTACAACTGATGTTTGCTAGTGCTCTTTGAACTTTTTGTCTGTATGTCACGATGTGTCTTGTTTGTCAAACATTAAACATTATGGTGACACTCTTAGTTCTATTTTTTCTGAGAAACTTTTCTTTACATGTGCTATGTATCATTTTACCCTTTATTAATGACGCCTAGTATATATATCGTATTGGCTCGATACGAAAACCTTCATGTGAGGAATTTTTGTCTTGGTGTTTGATGTCAAAACTCATTTGATTAGTTGATACATAAACTAGGAGAAGGAGGGTCATTGATTTTGTACATGACATGCAGGTGGGTGTCACATACTTTGTACATAAATTAAGGATGGGTCATTCACATAGTATATGCTCTCCATAAAAGTCATCATCACCTCCCCCAACCATAAATTATGTCCCTTACTACATACATTTACAATATGATCATGAAGAGCTCAGTGTGGGCACGAACACCAGGGTTAGCATTTTTCATGGCTGTGAGTTCGCCGCCATGTGTGTTGGAATACTCTTCACCTACTTCATATATGTGTAATGCCTTTCCAGTGATACTATAGTTCTCATATTGGGGAACCATCTCTAGTATCTGTATCTAGTGAATAAATGGGGGAAACAACAAAATAGTGTTTGTTATAAATATAATCAGGGCAGGGTTCAAGCAGGCAGTGATGACATCATCAGCTACGTCATTGCATGAACTAGTTGCTTGCAATTTACCATTGTTTACTACAGCAGAAACCTCAATGGATATATACAATTCTATGATATGTAATTCATCATGCGAAAACTTGATGCTCTGTACTCCTAGCTTGTACCTGATTTGAAGCATTTGTCCTTCATTTTGCTGACTCATATACAAATTTGGATTGCCTGCTCACAAATTGAGATGATCCGTACAGAAATCTGGCAGACCCGTACACATTTATATACATAGATTGATATATGTTCATATTCATTTGTTCATGTTAGTTTCACATATTCTGGCAAGTTTAAGGCACTTTTGAGTCAATAATGAATATGCCTTTTTAGTAATCATTAGTATCTTATTCAAAGCACTATTCACAAGTTCAAACATTTTGAGAGCTTTTGATTCAACAGTGGTTTGCACATATTGTATTAATGCTTATGTTACTAAGAAAGGGCCAACCTGCAGAGATCCAAGTTAGAATTGGTCTTCAGCAATCCATGCTTGTTATAATGGTGACTAATAGGATTGGGTGGTCAGGCTTGTGGACTTGACTGACACATGTCATTGTATCCCAGTTGTGTAGATCAATGCTCATGATATTGATCACTGGATTGTCTGATCCAGACTTTATTATTTACAGACTCCCGCCATATAGCTGGTATATTGCTGAATTACACAACAAAAACTAACATAAGAAAGTGTCAGTTTAGTCGCAACCGACCAGAAACACTCACAACATGATGTTCCGAGAAAAGGTCTCTACTTCAGCGTGTGGTAACCACAAGTTGGAGACTACAAAACATATAGCTAGTCATACTGGCTAAGGGTAATCCCAAATATAACTTTGCACACCTGTGATTCAATAAACTCAGTGCAGCCTTGCCTTGGTCATGTGAAACCAATCACCTTCCTTCCCAGAGTTCCTTACAGTCAGCCTAGTACATCTGTGACATCATCACATCTTACACAGCCCATTCATCATGTTCATTTATTTCCTTCTGTTTCATTTCATTTAGATAAACTTACCTCATGAAATGTTGAACTTTCACCAAGAACATATCCTGACATCATGCTGACATCAAAGAGTAACCTTTTCAGTCACTTTTGCAGTTGTAGCAGTATATCTATATAATTATGCAAGACATTGTATAAAGCACACCCAAAAGCATTGGGACTGTCTGTTTTTATTTCAGAATAAGTGCCCTTGTTTACAGAGAAATTCCAACCATGCTAAGAGTCCAGCTTCTGGAGCAGAAACATCCTCATTGAATAAGACTAGCAAAGTTGAGAAGGGGTTATTGTTTGCAAACAGTGCTTCAGAGTGATTGATTTAATATCCCTTTGAAATAGTGGAACAATATGTTTGACTGATTTTATTATGAAAACAATCAGATCAATCATGAGTGATCTTTTGTTTTGTAAACTGATCCCGAAAATGTGCCAGAATTGTTTTTTTCACAAACATGATCAACTGAATATGTGAGGAGATAGAAAAATCATGTTGCTTCGGTACTTTTGTTTGGCACCATTATAAAGTGTAATATCTCTATGTTACAGTTTGGTCCAGTCTTTACATTATGTGTTGCTGGAGAAAGATATACTTTTCTGATGGAGGCTGAAGATTTTGACAAGTTCTTCACCTCTCCAAATGTAGATTTTCAGAAAGCTGTTCAAGACCCAACCAATCGTGTTGGTATGGACACTGTGATTACAATTATGGTGATTTTAGAGAATGATGTTTTGTGTAGAACCTTTCAGTACATTTTTTTTGTTTGATAGACCACACTGAAACTGTCCAGAATGGACTCGCTTTTTAAAAATTATTGTTACATTTGTTTTGATTAAATCTGTCAAGTTGAAATTAAGAACTTTCCTTGTTCCTTGTAATCATAGTTTATTGTATTAGAAAATTGTATTGACTGCATCACATTTATTCCAATTATGTCATTTTAAGGTGAACTTTCATCTCATGTGTTATTTTGTAACTTGAATGAGTGAGTTAATATTTAACGTCACATCGGCAATATCTCAGCTATATCATGACGATTGTAACTTGAAACATATGTTTTATCATATAGCAATATTTCTATACGTTTGTTATTATTGATCATGTTGATAAAAATGTTTGAGATTAGATGAAATTAACAAGATATTTCTTCAGTTTTCAATGATGTTTCAGCTTCAATGCCAAAGAGTTCCTTCTTCAAATATCATACGAAGATCCACGATGCAGTAAAAGGAAAACTAGCTGCCTCACAACTAGCTTTGTTTTCGGATGACTTGTGTCAGAACTTCAGAGAAAATCTCGAAAAGCTTGCAGGAGGTAAATATTAAGGCTAATACTATTACTTATTTCTAAAAATATATCTTTTAGTTTAGTTTTTTTTGGTTACCTATGGAAGTGTATAGAGCATGATGATGTCCAATGTGTGATGCTGCAATACCGAGACTTGTGATTGGCTATATCCTCATCATGCCTGTCAGGTTACAAAAACAATCTTTTCATGAAGTTTATGAATTCATCAAATTCATCCAATTGCACCATTTTGTTCTTGGAAGAACAGCCATGTGTTTCCTTGGGTTTGCTACAAATGGCGACTAATACGATTGCGTGGTCAGGCTTGTGGACTCGATTGACACATGTCATTGTATCCCAGTTGTGTAGATCAATGCTCATGAAATTGATCACTGGATTGTCCGATCCAGACTTGATTATTTACAGACTCCCGCCATATAGCTGGTAATCTACATATTCCACTCATGTATATTTTCAACTCTTGTATAACTGTATCTGAATTTAAAGTAAGATGATGTTCTTTAAGTTCACTAACTTGACATGACAGGAGATCGAGGCTAATATTTCATTTCCTGACGCCATCATTGATTCTTCAGGTCGTGATGACCTGATGGAGGTCGTGAGGTCAGCAATGTACCCTGCTGTCATCAAGAACCTGTTTGGACAGGATGTGTTACCTATAGCTGAGAAGGTGGGTTGTCTGTACCAAATATAAACTTGGAACCAAATGTACTTTTCAGACAAAGATATCAAAGGCATATATGTATTTATGAGACAATAATCATACTTCTTTCAAAATGGCTTTGTTTTATCTTGTCCTGTATCTCATGTTATCATGAATGGTTCAGTGTTAAGAACAGGCTTCACCTGTTAGTGATATAAGCCTGCTCTTATCCAGTGTGTAATGGTCTCTCCACTCTGCTCCACTCTGCTGGAACCCTCATCCAATCAACTGGAAAAACACTTCGTCATATTTGTGTATACATGTATATGCCTCACGTTCCACACTCTGTACATCCAGCGTGATAATGCACTCGTACAGATCTGGGTTAGAATTGGTCTTCAGTAACCCATGCTTGTCGTAAGAGGTGACAAACGGGATCGAGTGGTCAGGCTCGCTGACTTAGTTGACATATGTCATCATATCCCAATTGCGTAGATCAATGCTCATGCTGTTAATCACAGGATTGTCTGGTTCAGACTCAGTTGTTTACAGACCGCCGCCATATAGCTGGAATATTGCTGAGTGCGGCGTAAAACTAAACTCACTCACACTGCTTGATAATGTTACTAGAACCTACACGGAAAAGTAACTCATATTACAGCAAGGAAGTTGTTCATCCATATATCTATTCCGTACTAAGTATTAAGTATTCAGGAGTGGAATAGATGACTTACCACATTTTGTTGTTACCAAGGTTACTTGTTCAGAATTGATACTGGTTTTGAGAAGGTTTGAGGACTGTCCTACTTATTTCACCAAGAGAGTGTTTCTGTACCAGGAAGGTGAATTAATCATCAGGTGTACATCAATATACAAGTATCAACATTTACCATGTATCAACACATGCATTAGTTGAAACAGAAATTGTTCTGTTTGATGTAAACATCCTTGGATTTGGTCAGCTTCCCATGTGTGATCCCTGTCATAGATCCCTGGCTGCAGACTGGGCCAGAATATACAGTACAACCAGAAATTATTGAGAATTTAAAGATTGTAATTTTAAATATTTTTTTCACTCATTACTCACGTATTAAATGTGAATATTAGCAGAACATAACTCCAGATTCAAAGACAGGTGAACAGTTAGTATTTTGTCAAGTCACCATGGGCAGCAATGCAGGCTTCAATGTGGCGGGGCATACTACTGATCAAAGAAGTTAGTAAGTCGTGGTCCATGCTGTCCCAATATCGACCACCTCTTCTTTCATTTCAGCAATATTTGTCAGATTTTTCTTATTGACACTTTCCTTCATAAGTCCCCAAACATTTTCTATTGGATTTAGGTCAGGGCTATAGCTTGGCCAATCTAATAATGTCATATTTTGGGTCTGAAACCAGGCCTGTGAATGCTTTGAACGATGTTTTGGGTCGTTGTCCTGCTGGAAAATCCAAAAATTTCCATAGAACACGTGAGCAGATGGAAGTAAATGTCCCTCGAGAATATCTGTGTACCGCTCACTGTTCATATTCCCTTCAAATACACAGAGGGGCGTTGCCCCTAACACAGATATGCCACCCCACACGTTAAATTTTGGACTGTACTTTAGGGCTGATACAAAGGTTTTTCAGTTTGTTTGGTCCAGAATTTCAGTGCATTAGGAAACAGCCACACAGAACTTCATCTGAGAAAATCACATTGTCCCAGTTAAAATTTCTATGCTGTAAGCACCAGTTCAACCTTCGCTCCTTTTGTTCAGGTTTCATGATCGGTGATTGAATTCCTCTACTTTTCTGCCAACCCATTGCATGCAGCTCAGTTCTAATTGTCTCCTTACAGACAGCCACAGTTCCCCTATCAATCATATCCAACCTTAAGTTTTCTAAACGCCTTTGTTTGTTTACCAAGAATACCAAGCTGCCTCCTGTCACCGACAGTCAATTTTCTGGGCCTACCTGCGCCTCCCTGGTGCTCAATGCCATATCCATTTGCAATATTTTTCAAAACACGATAAACAGTGGACAAAGGGATGCCTGTTCTACTTGAAATCACTTTAGCTGATCTGATGTCCTTGTTATAATACTCTAAAATCAACTTCCTCTTCTCTAAATCATCCATACTGAGGATCACTGAAAATGTCGTCTGCTAGCAAGTAAACAAAGGGGATAACTCTTCACAAACAAATGAAAAAAGGATTAACTCATTTGACAGAAAGAAAATATACTAGTTTCATGGTTAGCACTTGCTGCAGACTGGGACAATGCATGATTTCTTTTTAGTTTTATGCTTTATCAGCTTTTTGGGAGTCCAGGACATTATTTATGTATATATATAGAGAGAAACAGACAAATTTTGATGACATGTGAATTCCTGAACAAATGAAAGCTTTAAGTGAAAAAATTTAAAGCTTTTGAAATGTGTTTGTTTTTTCAGGAGGAGTTTGACTTATTTACAAAGCACTTTATTACCTTTGATGATCAGTTTGAGTATGGAGCCAAATTGCCCGGTGTATTGCTCAGGTGAGTACACATTCGGTACTGCTGGTTTAGTGGACAGAGAACATCAGCAAGAATGGGTGGAGTGTTAAAGGGGCTCTCGGCTCAGGTCATTTGGCAGTCCAAGCAAGCTCAATTCAAGGTCTAGCTTGTATTTATTTATCTGCTTGCTCAAATTTTATGAAGTGGATTATATCAGCTTTAATATGATATGTCTAAGTACATATCGGTAATGTCTCATTACACACCTTAATGCAAATGTAGGAGCTCAGATTGTGGAGCATTGTTTCCCTGGTGTAGGGCTGTCTGACAGACATATCTCGCAACATTGTACCAAAACACAGCATCGAAATATTCATATGCATATAATTACCAAATATACTTGCCATCTATGGGATTGTAGAGTAGATTTGTTGGTAGTTTACTGTTGCACTCAGCAATATTCCACCTATTTGACAATCAATATAGATAAGCAAGTAAGTCAAATATGCATCAATAAATAGCAGTTAGTTCCTGTGGCTGAATGCCTACTTTAGTTAGCCTTTCGAATATGCTTTAGCTACAAAAGAATATACAACAGAAATTAAAAACTTTACCTTAGTTCTGTTTCTAGGACTTAATGAAATGAATCAGATTGATAAACATCACAATACGGAGCTGTACAGAAACACCCAGATTCTGGAGTGAAGTCAGCTATGTTGTTGTTTACAGGGAGTGGTCAACGTCCAAGCAGTTTCTACTAAACATCTTCCGGTCAGTTGTCAGCAAGATTCAGATGCATGAAAACAACAGTCCAGCAAAGAAAGAAGTAGGTTGGTGAAAATCCTGAAAGAAACTTGTGTAAATCAGCCTAGATTGAAAAGGAAATATCAAATTTGCGCTTCAGCATTTTTTATTTGTCATGTCAAGGCTCAGGTTAGCTGTTAATAAAACACATTTGATTAAATGACGTGATGTTGTGACATGAAAGTGTTCTACAGATCTAATGATACCTGAGTTATGAATACACTATACCAAGAAAGTAAAATCTCAAACATAACAGATATAGGACACCAGAGTTTAAAAGAAAATCAGTTTAAAAGTGTCTGACTACTCTGCCTTTGATTTGTAAAATATAGATGTTCAGCTCATAATATCTACCAGAAGGTATTATTTTTATGGCATCTTTACAACACTATGTGGTGTTCATGTCAAATATTGCCAGAGCAGTTATTGTGAAACATAATGCTGACCCATTAGGATCCCAGGATTGCGGTAACTGCACATTGTAATCTGTGCAATCTATGTTGGTGACGCATCCTTTCTCATTTGAATTTGCACTATTTGAATTGCCTGCTTCGTGCTTTTTTCGTCAAACATTTGAAGTTAGGTTTCTGATGATAGCAAAGGATATAATTCAATTGAACTGCTATCACCCCTCAGTAAACATCGATGGTGTTCTTGTTAGCTGAGGAGTTTGTGTAGCTCTAAGACAGGAATACTCCCATTAATTTAATGATGCAGTTAAGGCCAGGGGCGACACTTGCATAAATTTGGTGACCTATTTATTGCATGATTTACAGTATAGCATCTTACAAAGATAAATAAATAACTGTGTAATCCTTTTGGGTCGTGTGTAGTAGATACATTGTATATCCTTAATACTGGCACATGAACTTGAAGTGGATGCAATTTGTTTTCCAGACTCTTCTGCAGATTGTTTGTGGTATAGCAGACCAGGACTGTATGGCCAACTACAGCCTGCTGTTTCTGTGGGCTTCGCTAGCTAATGCCATCCCGGTATGTCCAAGTAGTAGTGTTCGTCTGCCTGTTAAACAGTGCTGATGTGGGTTGACCAGTTATTTATCTATGAAGACACAAAAAACAACGACACTCCCCATAGTTTTTACCTCACCCCAAGTGCCTGCCAGTCTATTCGGGCCATGGATGAAACTGTCTTTGTCAAGAACATCCGCCCTTTAACTCTGACACAGTATATCTCTTCATGAACATCAGACGACACATCCGTAGAAGGTCTCCTCAGCAGAACACTAGCAAACAATCACTGCCCAATCAAAACAAAGGATGCATTAGAAGAATGATTATAATTTTATGAATATACAACTTTATTCTGTGAAAGCGACGTTTTGACATAGGTTCTACAACATAAACCAGCGTTATCAGGCAAGTGATTGTTTTTAGTCATAGTTCAGTGAAATAAAGCCACAGATATAGAAACACATAATGTGTTTTTTCTTCAGTGCATGTTTTGTTTTCCCCTTAGATAGCCTACTGGACGCTGGCTTTCATGATGCAGAACAAGGATGTCCTAAACAAAGCCAAACAGCAAGTGGACAGTGTCCTTAAGGCAAAATCTAGCGGTCAGTTTCTTCATCTATGTTCATGACAGTGTTGTTTTACGTAACCATTAATGGCCTGGCACCTTGACTCCTCACATAATGCAAGGGCATGATAGTATATTGGTTTTGAAGGGAATATTTCTGCTGGTTCTTAAGAGACTACTAACATTGGGCGAGTTTTTGTTATGGTTTCAAAGATATTTATTATTATCAGTCATTTTCTTCAAAACATGAAATCGTCTCTTGAAATGGAATTCTCTCTTTAATATGTATTGCTCATGTTGATCAATGGGGTAGAAATACACAGAGGTACTGTTGCAGGGATTTAGGGGAAGAACAGGTCCCCTGTGTCCAATGTGTGTTGTAAAAAATGATGGATTAGAAGTATGACTCTGTGACTCACTGTGTGTAATTGTATAGTGTGGATCTCAAGGGGTATTTATAACCTGACTTGACTATTGACTGGCTATAATAGTGACTCTTAAGTGAGTGAGTCAGACCTGCCACAGATGCCCTACCTGAAGTATACTGATTTATGTTGTAGTGAGTGAGTCAGACCTGCCACAGATGCCCTACCTGAAGTATACTGATTTATGTTGTAGTGAGTGAGTCAGACCTGCGACAGATGCCCTACCTCAAGTGCTGCATGCTGGAGGCTATCCGACTGCGGTCACCAGGGATCATCACGAGGAGAGTGGTCAAGTCCTTCACTGTCAAGGTTGATATTTGTAAAATGGAACTACTCAATGTTTCAAATAAGGATTTTAGAAATGCTATAATAAAATCTTAGCTGTGTTTTTTCAAATTCAAAGTCATATGCAGTCTGGAAGCTTGGAACATAATGTATAAACATGATCAGATCCCATATTAGGGTCATATGCAGTCTGGAAGCTTGGAACATAATGTATAAACATGATCAGATCCCATATTAGGGTCATATGCAGTCTGGAAGCTTGGAACATAATGTATAAACATGATCAGATCCCATATTAGGGTCATATTCAGTCTGGAAGCTTGGAACATAATGTATAATATACATCATAGATCATTCAGAAATAACCACCCATTGTATGTGATGTTTTTGGCTGTAGTTTCTGTTTCTATCCTGCTGAATCCTTTGACCTTACACATCCATGGTATCTTGTTCCTCCTCTCAAACCTATGGGCTATGAGGCTATGTTTATTTATAAATTTGATTAGATCAATATTAGCTCATGACACTGGTTCCTGGAATTCCAGACAGATGATATGTATTCTAGCATGGTGGAGATAGTGAATGTGTCATTAGTGTGTGTATATATATATATCTGTGTGTTGTGTTCAGGAGATGACTGTACCGGCCGGGGATATGCTGATGCTGTCACCCTACTGGGCTCATCGCAACCCCAGATACTTCCCTCAGCCCGAACAGTTTCGCCCGGTATGACTTCCCATAAACAGTTGGTGTGAGACTTTATTGAATTGTTATTGTCATGCTGGAAATTGTTATGTCAAGTTCACTGAACATGGTCGGAAACAGTGACACACATCACATGCTCCCAACAATCAGTGTAACACTTGCTGAAGTGCTTCTCACCAGGTACCATGTCAAGTGTGGTTGGTTTGTTACCCCGTGAAGATCCGGGTTAGAATTGGTCTTCCACAACCCATACTTGTCGTAGATGCGACTAACGGGATTGGCTCGCTGACTTGGTTGACACATGTCATTGTATCCCATTTGCTTAGATCGATGCTCATGCTGTTGATCACTGGATTGTGTGGTCCAGACTCGATTATTTACAGACCGCTGCCATATAGCCGGAATATTGGTGAGTGCGGTGTTAAGCAACAGACCAACCAACCAAATGGTTTGTTAGATTACATGTGTTAAGCAAATGTTTTGGCAGTCACCAAACACGTATATCAGTGTCTTGGTTCTAATAACAAATAACAATGTTGCTCACTCATGTAGTGAAAGAATAGAACTTGCATCCTGGAACAGATATGTCGATAACGTTGTAGGTTGAGGCATGGGACTTTCTGTTTCCCAATTTGTGTGTTGGCCATTTGTCTTTCTGAACTGGAAGTAGTTACGATTTAGTTATTAGGGTATCAGGAGGCAAAAGACTTTCTGATCTAAGACATGTGTTTTCCTGTACTGCAAGCATCAAGCGATGCGTATAATGTTGGAGGTTTGGGGGATTCAGGAAAAGGACTGCTTCTTGTTTTGCATGTTACACAAACACCTTTTGGTTTTCACATTTGAGGGGATTCAAACCCCATCCCCTGCCCTTGGATCTGCCGCTGTTATATATGTATATGTCAACAACAGTCACAATACATTGATGTTTTGCTAAGCATTATGATGGATATATATACAAGACCCTTTTTCTGACTTTAGGATCGCTGGGAGAAAGCAGATTTAGACAAGAATGTCTTCTTACCAGGGTTTGTAGCATTTGGAGGAGGCCGCTACCAGTGCCCTGGAAGGTGAGGTGTTGTACGTTATACCTGTAAACCTGCCAGGACAGTAAAACTCCTGGAACAGATCTACTTGTTTCCATGGTCATATTGTAAAGTCCATAATTAACTGGTTCTTTGGACTCAAAAGTACAGACTTCCTTCTGACCTGTGAAGACTGGGTTACAATTGGTCTCCAGCAACCCATGGTGGCCGTACGAGGCAACTTTTGGGTTCTAGTGGTCAGACTCGCTTAACTGATTGATACATGCCATCGGATCTAACTTGGATAGTTTGATGCTCATGATGTCAGTCACGGCATTGTCTGGTCCAGACTTCATAGACCACTGTCATATAGCTGGAATATTGCTGAGTGCAGTTTTAAATAAACAAACCAAAACAAACTGGTTACCTTCAAAACGTTGCATCACTCACTTCTTGTCCAAAATGGTACTTGGATCCAGAGGAGCAGCAGGGATGCATTTATACAGTCGGAAAATTCATAAGAATTTGAGTATACTAAAAAATGTTTAACACATTTTGGTGAAGTATTTTCAACAAAATTTTACCATTACTCAATGCAAGTTGCCAACTAACAAAATGTACACTTCTTTATTTAATAAATGTATTGGTGCTTGAACCATGTTCTGTTTATAAAAGATCATATCAATATCATAGGATTACGTCTATCCTTCAAGTGAAAGATGGTTGTGTATTGTGGGGATTTGTGATCTGAATGGACATTCAAGTGACACTCTGTTTGGGGTAGAAAACAGCATCCCATTGTCAGATATGTGGCATCATGTATTTCAGATGGTTTGCCCTGCTGGAGATCCACATGTTCATTGCAATGTTCCTTCAGAGATTTGACTGTAAGCTGATAGATTCATTACCTGAACCAGTAAGTACAACCTGTGGAAAACCCTGAAGCGTTTCCGTAGGACCAGTTTTCAAATTCTACAACTTTAGTTTAAAACCCAAACTTTAAGCAATGAGAAACATTTTATTTTAAATCCACATCGAAAAACTACCTGCAAAAATGGGGAATAGTGAGACACTTTACATGGAGCATGAAATGGAGCTTGATCCTGTGAATAATTGAGCAGAATTGTGATATATCTGTGTGCATTTACTTAAGTCATTGTTTATTTTTAATTTTTGTTCTTTGTACCGGGGTATATCTATTTTAAATGTGAAGATTGGTTGCTGCCCTCCCCAAAATCTTCAAAGCAGTCAGCATTTAAGTTTGTAAATGTAAACAGTGAATTCCAAAACTTTAAGGAAATAATCAGAATTTCATAGATATACTGGACCAAAATAGTTAGGGATGTATGTAAATTTTGAAATTATGAATAATGATCTATTTATTCATTGAGACACTGATAAAAATACCAATATCCCTAACTTATTTTGGCCAGTATATTTATCTGTTAAAAAGAATTCAGCTTTGGAATCCTCCAGGATTGTCTGTGTCCCTTTTCCTAGACATTATGGCCATTGTCAAAACTTAATCCTCAAATGTTAATTTGTTTAGACTAAAAGAGCTTACCACAGCAGCTTATACTAAACAGTGAACTGCCAACTCTCAATGCCTGCAGACAACATTTCATGGTTTATCTGTTCATAAGAAAGCTGTTCAGTTTCGTCATATCACTTGAATGCCTGATATGAAGGTAATGTTGTTCTGTTTCAGAGTCCACTGCATTTGGTCGGCACACAACAACCTCGCAATGCTTGCTGCTTTCAGTACAGTCTACGACGGTAGTTAGACGTGTTCAACTGACTTTGGCTAGTTTTGATTTTGAAGAAGTGTTTGGGAGAAGGTGACTAACATGAGTTTGGATGGACACCATTGCTGAAATATGATGCATTCAATGAGATAGCGAATTTGTGGTTATTGAAATGTGAATTACTGTGCCTGTGATTGTATTATACTCTTTAAATTTCCCTGCGAACATGGACTCAGATACAAAGATTTTGCCAGTGTGCTCAATTGCAATCATGATTCATACTTATTTAATCATAATGACATGTTTTCAAATGATTTGTGTGTTATACATTATACGGGTAAATAATTTAACCAACATTTAAACAAAAAAATTGTTTGTGGTTTTTTCACTTTTTATTATAAAATTTCAGAGTTGATGACATGTTTATTTATTGGAAAATAATTACTGATCTGTCCTAAGAATCTAACATGATGAAAGCTGAATATGTCATGTTGATGGCTAATGGTTACTATGAAAACAAAAGTGAATGAAGTCCCAGAAATACCTGCAACATACTTAGAAATGTCAATTAGCGCATGGCAAAGTCAAGCCAAATCATGGAAAGGAAAGATGTTTTGGAAGAACTACATCTGGACAGACAGTAGTTGCATGTGAGAGAACATTAATTGAGAATATCGTTATGTAGGGATGGGTGGAACCACAAATATCAGACGATATATAACACATCGATTATAAGGATGCGGTGATTGTGTGTGGTACTGTGTATAGAGCCCAGGTCACAAATCTGTTGAAGTTAAGCAACGTCGGGCGCGGAGAGTTCTTGGATGGGTGACCGCATTTGGCAGCTTGACTCCTGAGAGTTTCTAGGACTTCAGTCCTGCCCCACAACGAAGGGCATGTGATAAATGTGGTCTCACCTTAGGCAAGTGAGTTTGTTAAAAATTGCCTCTGTTCAGTCTCCAAAAAATGTGTACCGGGGGGATAAGTCATATGACTATTAACCTTATGGCTCACAGGCAGCTTTGGTTATCTGGCGTAATAATGTGTCAGGGCTTTGAGCATGCACAAGTGTGTGGAAACAGGCGCCTTATAGATAGCCATTATTATTATTTATTGTGTGACAAGAGGATATGTTTGACAGGCATTTTTATGTTTAATGACATATCTGTACATTTTGTAGCAAAGTTTACAATTATGTTTTACAATTTATCTTAAAAACCATTTACTTAAATCTACATTGTTAAATATTCAGGCACATTTTTGTTGTTATTTTCTTCTGGACCAGTGAATTGTTGGTGCCCTTTTATAGGTATATTGATTGTCTGAATATAATCATGTTTCATGAAAATGAAAAGAATAATAAAAAAATCACTATTGACATAGTATGTTTGTGTTCTTTTTATGGGGGTATGATGAATGGTGTTGACAACTGTAGTTAAGGAGATGGGAGTATGGTGAATGGTGTTGACAACTGTAGTTAAGGAGATGGGAGTATGGTGAATGGTGTTGACAACTGTAGTTAAGGAGATGGGGTATGGTGAATGGTGTTGACAACTGTAGTTAAGGAGATGGGGTATGGTGAATGGGTGTTGACAACTGTAGTTAAGGAGATGGGAGTATGGTGAATGGTGTTGACAACTGTAGTTAAGGAGATGGGAGTATGGTGAATGGTGTTGACAACTGTAGTTAAGGAGATTGGGGTATGATGAATGGTGTTGACAACTGTAGTTAAGGAGATGGGAGTATGGTGAATGGTGTTGACAACTGTAGTTAAGGAGATGGGGGTATGGTGAATGGTGTTGACAACTGTAGTTAAGGAGATGGGGTATGGTGAATGGTGTTGACAACTGTAGTTAAGGAGATGGGGGTATGGTGAATGGTGTTGACAACTGTAGTTAAGGAGATGGGGTATGGTGAATGGTGTTGACAACTGTAGTTAAGGAGATGGGAGTATGGTGAATGGTGTTGACAACTGTAGTTAAGGAGATGGGGGTATGGTGAATGGTGTTGACAACTGTAGTTAAGGAGATGGGGGTATGGTGAATGGTGTTGACAACTATTGACAAGTTATGGAGATGGGGGTTATGGTGAATGGTGTTGACAACTGTAGTTAAGGAGATGGGAGTATGGTGAATGGTGTTGACAAGTATGTAGTTAAGTAGAGATGGGGTATGGTGAATGGTGTTGACAACTGTAGTAAGGAGATGGGAGTATGGTGAATGGGGGTATGGTGAATGAATGGTGTTGACAACTGTAGTTAAGGAGATGGGGGTATGGTGAATGGTGTTGACAACTGTAGTTAATGAGATGGGAGATGGTGAATGGGGGTATGGTGAATGGTGTTGACAACTGTAGTTAAGGAGATGGGGGTATGGTGAATGGTGTTGACAACTGTAGTTAAGGAGATGGGAGTATGGTGAATGGTGTTGACAACTGTAGTTAAGGAGATGGGGGTATGGTGAATGGTGTTGACAACTTGAGTTAAGGAAATGGGGGTATGGTGAATGATACTTTATGCAGTTGACCTTTTAATCGATTATTAAATTCAAATGTACACTTGATAATTAATTAAGCACAGCCTTAATCCAAGGGCAGTAACAGTTTGGTCCAACCAGGCGATATGTAAGTCATACATGTAAGTCATGTGGTTCACACAATTACTCAAAAGCTACAGTTGCATGTTCACGAGCTGCGAAGGCACCAAGTACATTGGGGTATATATTAGATTGTCGCAGTTTGTCCACTACAGTTTCCTGAACTGGTTTAAAAGTGGACAAAACAAAAACATTGTCATTTGCAAGACGTATACTTGATGGCCAATAGGCGTGTCCTGTCGCAACATCCTTATAACTTGAATATTTACCACAGGGATATCAGTGAAGTACAGGCCCATCCAAAGACCTAGGAGACCAAGGAAGACCAAGGTCCGTGATGTCCTAATTCATCTAGCAAGACACAATTCGCTGACCCAAGCCGAAGAACTGGACCAGTTATGGAAAAAGGGAGTCCGACTCTTCATCGGTGACTTTACCATCAGAAAGTGGGCTGCTGGTCTGAGAGAATGGCGTCCGACCAGGCATCCCGTCCTCACAGTGCCCGATATGAACCCCATCGAACATCTTTGGGACTATCTTGGAAACCAAGTTTGAGGTAGAGATCCTTCAGTTCAAAACATGCAGGAATTCTGATGATGACGATTCGACGCTTGATTGCGGAGACTGGCAGATGCTATCACTGCGAGGCGTGGCTGCTCCAGGTACTGATGTGGTCGCCAGTGGTGGTTCAAGAGATGTGTTTGACGCCGTTTTGAACTGTATTTCAGTTGTGTCACAGCTGTGACAACTTAATGTTGGAGGAAAACCCCAATTTAAGTTGGTATTAAACCATCGAAATGTTGGATTGGGAACCCTTGATCAGGGGTTTCCAACTTGAGACTCCGCCAGGCAACTGGATCTTCCGCTCCTCCGTGTCATAATGAAGAGTGCGCGGTGAGATGAAAGATTCAACAATGACTACTTTCAACAACCCAGAGAAACAATGAGTATAAAACTTGACCAAATAGCAGCCAGTTTGCCTCCTGGACTTCCCATCGGACCACATCATAATGTATAAAGGCAAGCATGTGTTTTGGGATTACAAAACGTGCAAGCAACAACGGAATACATAAAAGGGACCTCAGTATATGTAGTGCTTAATTAATACTTCTCTGAACATTTTTGCTCATGATATTACCTCAACACGATATAATCGGGGTTGGGTTTTCACTGATCAGACAGAACATTGCAATTGCTGCATGCCATCGAAGTGCTAACATCACGACCAACCACTGTAGTACATCACTCGATAAAGTCAATCAAGCTGTGTCTTCACATGATGCAGTAATGCTTAAACAGCTGGTACCCCTGTGATTATGTCATTTTGTGGCAAAGAGAGAACACATAAAAAGAAATATTCCTCTGATTTTATGGCGTTATCGGGTTGTTATGCATGATAATAAATCCCAAATTCTCATTCCCTCTGTTCGTTGATTGTTCGACGTGTCTCAGGTTGTTGATTTAATCTTTAGTGTGTGTTGGTATAGTTCAGTTTATTTAGATATTCTAGAAAAATCGTCATGGCAAGTATTGAGTACGTGCGATTATTATTTTAATTGATACCACATGTTCAATTCACTTAAACATATAAATCTGTTGATTCACTAGAAAATTAAAGAGCTTGTTGGACTGAGGAACACGGTAAGAACTGCTTCTATAATACAATGCATTTCAGAGTAGGTGGAGAGAGGGGTAACTGACCAAGTATATTTACCATAAAGTAACTATTCTGCGATGTTAATGGCAGATAAGTTAATCACAACAAAACAAATCAAATCCATTTGCAAAACATTTTCTTCAGTAAACATTTACCTATCACTGATATTAGTGATGATTATGACAGTGTGAGACTTTTACAACTGTGGGAACGCCATGAACACGTCTATGAAGTGTTATCAGGGTAATATGGATTGGAAACAAGTGCCGGACTTCATGTTGAGTCACGTCTAAGGGACGCAACTCTGTACAGCCTTACTTACATAGCTGGGCAAGAATTGCCTCCCTTTAAAGTACAAACACGGTATTTCATTTGTTGATCGGAAGTGAATATTTCCATTTGCATCGTTTAATATCGATAACTTCAGCTAATATTTCAAGGGTGAGGTTACAAGATCACATCAGGACACACACAAATGTTGACACTATTTATCTGATCCACACAGAACCATTGTTTAGCTCTTCTGCAGGGATTGTGAAAGGCAGGGGCCATGGGCCATTTTGCACATTAGTATAAAAAATGGCCCATTATAATTCTGAAGTTTTCTATTGATACAAGGGCAGTGGCCCATTCTAAATTCAGAAAATGGCTAATAATCTTGAAAATGGCCCATTGTCAAAGTTCTCTATCCCAATCCCTGCTCTTCTGGTTACTTTTGAAATGCTTCATTGTGGATTCTTTAAACCTAGGGCAGCCTTAACATTCGTGACTGACTTGGTTAAATGTGTAGTGAATAAAACAAATTTTCTTACATACTTCGGTATGCATGTAGGAACTACTCGTAATGAAAGTAGTTTTACGTTTATTCTAGTATGGTGAATGGTCATTTAAAGTTATAATATGAAGAGTTACAAAGTATGACGTTCATAGCTTAAACACAAAGGTTTTAGTTCTTCTT